GCCAGGAGGTGGGGCCCCAGCAGGAGGCCATAGCAGGGAGGCCGGGGAGTGTAGGGGGAGTTCTCCAGATGGCGGGCAAGGCCCACCGGGAGTGGGAAGGGCCGGGTGTTGTTGTTAATCCTCACCCCAGGACATTTTTTCCATTGATTTTTTTAATAGAGCGAGTGAACGGGAGGGAGGGGAGAGAGAGAGAAGAAAACATGGGTGTGAGGCACATTGACTGGTTGCCTCCCACTCGCGCCTCATCCCAGGTACTTGCCCGTGACCGGGAGTCAAACCCGAGGTCCTTCATGGGCAGATGCTCTACCCACTGACCCAGGCCGGCCAGGGCCGAGAAGGGTCATTCTGAGGCCCGGGGAGCGGGGAGGAACTGGAGGAGTCTGTTCTGATCCTGCTCCCCTCCCCCCAACACACACACCCCCGCAGGTGAAGGGCGGGGCGGAGATCTGGCTGTGAGATACCCTCTCCCCAAAGGGGGCGGTCCCGGGGCCTGTCCTGTCCTCCAGAGACGCGCGTCTGAGCCTTCGGTCCTGGTCTCCAGAAATATTTTTACTACGATCTGGGTGAGGTGGGATCGTTACTGGTTCCAACACGGGAAAATGCAAATTAAATCGAATAATCGTGCTGAGGACGCTCAGCCCGTCTTCCATGAACTGAGATGTCCATGCTGTGGAATTGTGCACCTGGAACCTGTATAGTTTTGTTAAGCAGTGTCACCCCAATAAACTCAATACAAGGGGGGAAATGAGGTGTCCGTGTATGTAATGTGCAAGACTGCAACAACCCTTTATCGTTTATACGGGATGCATTTCAATACTTGGTGCCATGGATGCCGGGGTCCCGAGTGTTCCCGGAGAGACAACAGAATCCTATATAGTAAAGAGCTAATATGTTAATTAGATCGAACAGCAGAACGACAGTCCGGACGACCTTTGGGGCAAAGCCGGGGCCTTGCACGAATTCTAGTAGAGAAATAAAAAAAAAACCAAAACCCCAGTCTGGAGCCCCTTCCTGGCTGTACGACTCGGACAGTCACCGCCGTCTCTAAGCCTCCTTTCTTTCTTCTGAAAAATGACACGAAGGGCACGTCCTATCTGGCAGGTCCCGCGGGGACAGGAGTTATCTGGGCGCCAGGAACCTCTGGATTTTGCCTCTGGCGCCACCTGAGCGAGGGGTGGTGAGCCGAGTTCTCTGGGGGCGGGCCAAACAGGTAAATGAGATGTAACCCTCTTCCCTGCGCCTAATCCCGGGAAAGGCTGACACGCTGCTGCTCCGGGCCGGGGCGGCCTGGGACTGGGCTAGTGCGGCCTTCTTTCCTTCTCACCCCCAACCCCCGATCTCCAGGTCGGTGACGCCGCCTATGGCAGGTTCCAGCCAGTTTTCCCTTTGCGGACCTCAGGGAGCCACCTGTGCAGGGGACCCCGGTGACAATGGCTCTCAAATTCAGTGTACCTAACGGCAGGGTGCAGGCCCGTCTGCAGCTTTTAGAAGACAACGGTTTTGTGGGGCTTTTATTGAGAGAGAGAGAGAGAGAGAGAGAGAGAGAAAGAGAGAGAGAGAGAGATTGCAGACGCCCGAACTAGGCATGTGCCCTGACCCGAATCCAACAGGCAACCTCTCCGATGTCCCAGAGGACGCTCCAACCAGCTGAGCCGGGCCACGGCCAAGTTCCTTTTAAAAAACAACAATGAAACAGGTGCTTGGGCCGGCGGTGGGGGTACTTTAGAGACCTCGAGGGGTCCCTGGATGGAGCTACCACGCCCTTGCCCCTCGTGGGGGCCACCCTCCCCTCATTGGCGCCGCCCC